GGGCGCCATGTGGGCGCCGCGCTGGCAGAAACACCCGGGCTGCGCAACTGTGAATCAATCTCTGGGCTTAAATCCCCCTGGAGGTAACTCCTGCTCGGAGCAGGGCGGCTGAAACATCCCAAACTGGCTGCTCGGTCAGAAAAACCCTTGTGCCAGTGTCAGGGCTCCCCTGGGGTTGGATCGATGCGAAAAGCCACTGTGAGCAGCGGTGGACTGTGAGCAGCAGTTGATCTCTGTTCCCCGCCCCAGGTGGTTTCACAACCCCTGTTAGTAACAGCGGTGGTTTCACAACCGCTGTTAGTAACAGCGAGGCTTGGCTCGTTCAGCATGGGGATAAATCCTCTCTTTGTTCAGGAGAATTGCTGCTTTCGTGAAGCTGTTGCATGTTTCTCACTGGGTACAGTGACTAAGAGGGCAGAAACAATAGTTTTCCCCCCCACACCTCAGGGAATGCTTGAAATTGTTTCCTGTTTAGTTCATCCATCAAAGACTCTGCCAGGCTGTCACGAAAACAACTTTCACCTGGCAGGATTCATGGGCGGGGAGGCTTGTTCTGCCTCGCACATATCTCGGAAAACCTCCTTAACTCTTTGGCAGAGGAATTGCAGCTCCGGCCAAAGCAGGCGGGGGAGCTAAAGGTGAATTGATGGTGGTTAAAACGTGCAGTGCTGGGTTCTGCTGTCGATAGCACAACCAGGAGCAGAGCTGCTCCTTATAGACTAGGTGTGGGGAGCGTGTGCGAAGGGATCGGGGGCGTAGCTGCTCACTGTGCGCCTCTCCCGATCTATCCAGGCCCTGTACTCGCAGCTGGGCCAGCCGAAGGATTACGCCCTGCCCAATGCCAGCTGGAGCCAGGACATGCTGGACTTGTACAACAGGTTCCTGGAGATGACCAAGGACGGGCTGTGGAAGAGGATTCCCTCCTACAACAACATCCTCGATCATATCCCAGGCAAGGCCCTTTGGTGTCTCCTGCCGCATGCCGCTGCCGTGTGTCACCAGCTCACGGCACGACCCGGCGAGTGACACTTTGCTTCTGCCATGCTCACGTGCTTCCCGGGCCTCTTCCTGGCCACAGTTGGCCCTTGCCTGGCTCTAAAACATCCCCGATGGTAGCTCTGGTGTCTTGGGAAGCTCGAGATACCATCCTTGTAGTTGTCACCTGGCAGCTGTGACCGTGGAGCATCTGTTGGGACTGGCACCAGAGGGCGTGTTGAATTAGACCCTCAGCCTTCCCCTGTCAGGGCAGAGCCTGTTAGGGTGACATTAGAGCTCCCTGGAAACAGCAGCAGGGCGTAGTTTGGGCCAAAACAACCTCTGTTCCCTGCGGTCTGTGCCATGGTGTTGGTCTGCTGTTCCCCACAGGCATTCCTCTCTTCTGCTGGTGCCCTGCAAGCAGCTTGTGCCCTTTGCAGTGCCAGGAAAACAGGAATTTAAATCAGTTTAAAAATCAGCACCCACAGATCCCTCCCTCCTGGGTTTCCCTGCATCTGGGCTCATGGCTGCAATTTTCATGGATTTCTGCTGCTGAGGCAGAGCAAACCCTCATCGCTGAGTTAAATCATCGCTGAGTCACATCTCCCCAGTGGGCCTAAGCAGAACTGCCTCCCAGCATGTCCTCTGCAGGCTTGGGGAATGCAGACAGCCCCCACGCGTGAAAAATAACCCTTATAACAAGCCAGGGACTTGGTGAAAGGCTTGGTGTGATGCTCTCCCCTCCGTTTTGCTTCTAACCTGGGCTCTTCTCTCGTGCCTTGGCAGAATCGATGAAGTTGGTGCAAGAGAAGAAGGAGGGCACACGCCTCTTCCTTCGCAGCATTGACGCCGAAGGCGTGGGCTTCGAGTATGTGATGTTCCTGAACGCCTTGGAGAAAAGGGTCGTGTGTCTGTTCCAGCCCGGCTCCTACCTGGAGGGGCATCCCGGGTAAGAGCTCGCTGAAGCCCCCCTACCTTCAGCTAGCATGCGGCAGATTTTCTCCCTCCAGGCTCATTCTCAACCCTTCCTTCCCCCTGCGGCCCCCAGCTTTGCCCACGGTGGCTCCATCGCCACCATCATCGACAGCACGATAGGGAGCTGCGCCATCTTCGTGGCGGGGAGGGTGATGACGGCCAACCTCAGCATCAACTACGTAAAGTGAGTGACCTTCCTGAATGTCCCTGGGGGAGGGCGGGAGCCAGGACGAGCCCCCAAGCAGGGGAAGCACCGTTCTCCATCCGCGGCTCTTCCTTTGGCGCTGATCAGCAACGCTGGGGCTCGGTTCAGTGCTCTTTCCAACGGAGCCCCTTCCCTGGGGTGCTCTCTCCTCACAGCCCCGTCCCGCTGGGCTCCGTGGTGCTCGTGGACAGCAAGGTGGACAAAGTGGAGGGCCGGAAAGTCTTTCTGTCCTGTAAAGTGCAGAGCGTTGACGGTGGCACCCTCCACGCGGAGGCGACGGGTAAAGATGCGCTCCGCGTCACGATGGGGACCCGGCTCTGGGGTGGGAGTGGCCAGGGCAGTGCTGAAACTCATCTTCCCCGTTTCAGGCGCTTAAAAGTGGAGGGAGCCTGGGGAAGGGGAATTGTCAGGGATCTGTGGCTCTTCCCTGCCTCTCCTGGGGGTGCAAAGGGCTCGGAGTGAGCACTGGCAGGGGCTTTACCCCCGAGACCCCGTTAAGCTCCAGTGCAGCCCAGAGAGTCGGAGACTGGCAGTCGGGAGAGGGCGCCAGAGCCCTGCCAAGGCCCCGCCACGCTCAGGCCGTGACCGGACCCCCGTGAGCTGGCAGCAGTGTTGGAAACGTCCCGGGACAGCGCTGTCTCGCCAGCGGCTACAGTCCCTGCTTCTCCCTGCTGTCCGTTAATGAGTCATCCTCCTTTTTCCTCCTTCTCTGTTTTTAGCTCTCTTTATCCAGCTGGATGCCACCACGTCCCAAAAGCAGCAGGCTAGCTGCCAGTAGGCCCCATGAGGCTGGGGGCAGCTCCGGCTCTCCGGGCCCCCGAATGCCGTTGGTCGCAGCCGCCCAGATCCGCCCCGCTCCGTCGCAGCGCTCCCATGTCTCCGGGCGAAGGCATGCACCCTCCCTGCCACCCCAAAGATGCTTCCCGCAGCGCTTCTCCCTTGCTCCTGCCCAGGTCCGGTTCCCCACGCGACACCTCGTCCCTGCCACTGGGACCAGCATCATCCCAGTGCATTCGAGGCAGCTTCGGAGCAGCCAGAAAAACCCATATTGGATAGAAACTGGAGGGAGATGCCTGTCGGCACCTCAGCCTTGTGCCTCAGTTTCCCTGAAGCAACCAGTGGTGCCTGGCCCAGGGGGGACATTTGCAGAGTACTAAACGACTTGTTTTAGGCAGAGCTGGGGGTTGTGGAGCGAACACCAGCACCTAAATTGACAAGGAATATACTTAATATTTATTGATGTTTTCAGTAGGAATTAGCCATGTTTCTGACAGCACTGGTGGGATGAAAGGGGCTGTGGCTGTTTGCCAAAAGGCCAGGAGGTCCCATTTTTCCGAGAGGAGGGAGACACCCAAAATTGCTTCAGCCCCGCAGGAGTGGCGAGGGCCAGCACCTACCCACGTTCGCTGCCGTGCCGTGGCGGGGAGGTGCGGCCCCCTCCGGCATCTCCGCGCCGGGCCCCGGGCTCGTCTGTTGGGAGCGCGAAGTAGCGTGGAAATAAAGCATCTCGGGGACGCGAGTGCTCGTGGCT